TACTTTATGTGAGCTAAAAACCACTGCTGCTATGATTTTACCTTGTTTATGAGCTCATTGCTGTCGTAATTTAGGATTTTCTTTTTAATAAGTTCTTATAAATGAAAAAAAGATAGAGAAAGGTAACCCGGCAAGGAAGTTTGCCCCGGTGACCGTAAAGTAAGTGCTAAATTCAGAGTTCACGGAACACTGAGTAAATATTAACAGGAATATAACTAATTAATAATGGCCTAGATGTTTACATTATACAAATATAACGTCTAAAAGTGTTTTCGTGAAAAATTCATAAACAAGAATACAATAATTTCGATAAATATAACTGTATGTACATGATTATAGTATTTTGTCACTTGTGTATAAAGTTAAAATCATAAATAATATTCAACGTTAAACTGGTACACAATTAATATGTACATGCTTTGATTTTTTCTACCACAAGTATAGGCATCCACAGGGGAAACAACAAAAATCTACGTGGAACAAAATATACAAATATGGCCGTGTTAACAGCGCCAGACACCCATTGCCTAAATTCTGGTGCAAAAATAAAAACCATATTAATTTAAGGGTCATTTATAAATATAAATTTAAGAATATTTGCAATGATAGTACAAGATCAATATTAGAGTTAGTTTTCAGGCTTATACCCCAGGCTACTCATAGCAGAGATGATCCAATAAGTTTATTTTCTCTATCGTTAATACTTAATAAACACAAAACGTTCACTACCTCCTTAACTACGGTCGATCTGAAAGGAAACTTAACTTTTCAAAGTGTTCTGTACGAGCGTTCATAGCAGCAGTTATATACTATACTTAACGCAGTATGTATTAAGATCTGAGCTTAAGTCTTAATTGTAGAAAAATTCCCATATATTTGCAAATTCCGGAGACAGGCAAGGAAGTAGACTGAAATACGGTTTTCAAATTACTGGATAGGTTTACGTTTTATCAGTCATGACATAAATCTAAATCAAACATTTGCTAGTTGGATGGCCATTAAAACCGTTTTGAATATTTTGTAACCCACAACATTTAATGTAGCTAAAGAAATGTAACAATAATAATACATATATACAAAGAAACCTTCCAGTTCATAAAGTATAGTAAAAAATTAATTAGTAATTAATTAGTTGCTAATTAGTAAACCAGCTCATCTTCTATGGCGTCATTTCTCTAATTTTCGAATTAGAGTTCGATCCCTAACATGAAACGCATAATCGATCAATCTAACAGTGAACGTTATCAACGTTAAATTTGGCAAAGACAGACGTACGTGGTTGAAAAGAAGGAAGTTTACAGAAATCATATTATATTAATTAAAGAGTGTTAACAAAAATAAACTGTGCAAACAAACATTATATTCCTCACGGTTCTTTTTATGTCATCTTCTGCATATTAACAGCAGAACCATTTGCATTTGTGGCAGAAAAACAGTAGAAAACGTGAAATGAGCTTAATACAATTATTAAAGTATTTCTTAATATGTTATAGTTTAAACGCTGAAACTTGGCGAAGTTTTTCGAAACCAATAGGCCTAAAAGTTGTAGTAGTATATATCGTTGTAAGCTATATTTTCAATATTTCAATTTAGATATTTGCTAGATGTTTGTTTGTTGGAAGTTAAGCATAAAGCAACACGGTGGGCTATCTGTGCTCTGCCTACCACGAGTATCGACACCCGGATTCTAGCGTTTTAAGTCCGCAGACATACCGCTGTGCCACTGGGGGGCAGATATTTGCTAGAGGGAGATTGTCATTACGACAATCTTAAGATCTAAAAAGTTCAAGGCCCGGCATGGCCAGGTGGTTAGGGTACTTGACTTGCAATCTGAGGGTCGCGGGTTCGAATCCCCGCCCCACCAAACATGCTCGCCCTTTCAGTTGTGGGAGCGTTATAATGTGACGGTAGCCCAAGATTTGGCAGTGGGTGGTGATGACTAGCTGCCTAACCTCTAGTCTTACACTGCTAAATTAGGGACGGCTAGCGCAGATAGCCCTCGTTTAGCTTTGCACGAAATTCATAATAATAATAATAATAGAAAGTTCGTGAAAGTTAAAAATCGAGAAGCTTCGTGTAATATGTATAAACTAGAATACGATATAAATATGAGTTATCAGTGATGATTGAATGAGTTTAATGAGTGAATCACGTCAGTGAATTTGTGGGTATTTAGTGAGTTAAGTGTTTGTCAGTTCACTGTTAGAAAATATATTCACCATTAGTAGTGAGAATTATCGCGTCTATTTTCTTATTCCTTTACTAGGTGAGATACGTGTTTTTGTTTATCAATCGATTAGCTTTGCAAAGTATAATCTATATATAACATACTGCTATTATTACCTAAAATGGCTTACAACAGACATGATTTTTGTGACATGCTGTTGTTTTAGTAGTTTAATGAAAAAATAACACATACGACAACAGAATGCATTGTTATTATCAATATATTAGGAGGTGAAATACCGTCTATAATGTATTTTAAAATCCTAGTAAAATATTAAGCTTCATAGCAAAGGCTGTTTAGTACATATAGTTGCTTTGTTCAGTAGGAACTGATTTTTTTTTTGTGACAGGAGTAAGGGACATCTCATTACTATTCCCACAGGAGAAAAATAAACTGTAGTTACAGTTATTCCATACCTTGTTGATGAATGTATGGTATTAAGAAACAAACGTGTTCAACTTCTATATCAAAATCTTTCGACAAATTACACGTATACATGTTTTAAAAAGTCAACTCATACTCCAGTATACTTCTTTCTACAAAGATAAAATTCCTCATTCACTGAGATTACTAATTATTATTTATAAATACATCAGTCTGACAAAGAATTAATGACCATTCAGCACTGCCATCTTGTAACAATTAATCCACGAATATTTTTTGCGCATGTGATGCTTTTGATAGAAAATAACATTTAACTCTTTTTTTTTTTACTTTAATACAACAGAGCCTACATATTAAGGAGTGTCCTGCAATCAATATTTTATATTTAACTCTTAAAATGCAGTTCTTTTTTTTCAAAATTTACGGATATATACTGAAAACAATGATTTTGTTATGGTAATGTAGTGGACAACAACCAGGTGTTATTATACGAAAACTAAGTACATTATATTAAACTAGTTTTGGAGCGTATTCAAGTTATTACAGCGAATTTCATGTAATAACGTTCGGTCATGCTTTATATGAAGACAATACGTCTTGTAAATATTCCTTTACTGTAGTTTATATTGCAAAAGCTTCATTACAAGACTATCCTATTCAAAGAACACTCCTCATAAATTCATGGACATAAATAACATGTACAAAATCTGCTTTAACTACATATTCATTCAACCATCTCATACATCAAGCAATTTGAAAATGAAATAAGGATTAATGCTATTACATATGTAAGCAAGATACGCTAACTTGCTAAATACAGTGCCTGTGTATTTCTTTGCAATTGTATTATTGAAATGGGCAGTGAGAAACTGCCGTCCTCATACACTAGATGAATTATGAAAAAACTTTTCCAGGCAGAAATCCTTTTTGATTATGTTGTATATTGTTGCCTGGAGCACATGGATGGCTTTTGCCACTAATCTTTGTGTTCGCGGATTTTCACCTATTACAAGATGCCGCAATATGCTTACTATAGATGGGACACGACTCGTTGTCGGTATATTTCAGGATGGTACTGGTGTCCCAACTTTATTTTCTAAATTCATTAACTACAACGGATATTCCTTCCATGGAAATTATAAATTTCGATGTGAACAAACTTTTATGATCCAATTGTATGAATATTTTGCATCGGAATGTACCCTTCCCAAAAGTACTCAGTTTTCGGAGCATCACACTACTTAATAAATTCCAAACAATGTTAAAAGGTAGCTTTGACAAATTCAATTCCACCACGAATTTATATATGTTATGTTGTCACATGACTAATTGATTTGCATATTGAAAATTGTTTTAATATGATATACGCAACACTGTATACACACAGGTTATTGTTCTTATGAAGCTATAATAGCGCTTAATATTTAATATGTTATTATGATACGAATAATAACCTAAATCACATCATTACGGAAATAATAGTAATGAGCTATAGTATAACATATACAATTTTAATTTTTCCCTATTTGGTGCATGCTGACGTAAACAGATAAGATGTAGTTGGAATGTTATTAAAATTCTTCTTACTGGAAAATAGTATCGGGCCAATAGAGAATGGTGTGATATAAATTATTATTAGCTTTACTGTGATATTCATTTGTTGAATTTCGCGCAAAGCTACTCGATGTACTACCTTCGCTAGCCGTTCCTAATTTAGATATTATAGACTAGAGGAGAGGATGTCAGTCAACATCACTCACCACCAAATCTTTGGCTTTGTAATCGAATGGTGGGATTGACCGTTACATTATAACGCCCCCACAGCTGAAAGAGCGAGCACTGTGATGTAATACCATTCACATATTAACACCACAGGTCAGATTTCACAGGCTAATGGGTTGTACATTGTTGTTATATTAAATTAGTAAAAATGAGGTAGTTTCAGAAAGATATATGTGTATGTTTCAAAAAGCTATAAAGGTTTTTATTATAACTTACATGTTCAGGTTTTGCAGCAATTGGTACATTTTAGTTCTGTAACAAAATAACAAATAATTGTTTTTTCTACCTATCTACTAATACTATTTTTTATCTTCTTCTTTATCTGTGGAGAGTCACGTGATGATCGGAATGGGTAATAAGACGACCACACGTCTCAGTGTAGTGACGCTGTTATCCTTCATTTGATGTTGTCCAGTTTGGACGTGTACTGAGAACAAAGTACTTTTCTGGTGAATGGATAATCTACAGGATTTGCTTCTTTGTACCTGCAATATGAAGCTTTAAATTTCTGCCTTGACTTTTATTTTAACCGTTTTATTTTTCCGGATTATTTGTTTATTTTTGGTTAAAGTTTCTAGGCGGAACTTCATTCTTTGCTGTCTTCCAGGTGGTCGCTGTGCTCTCCATCTTGTTCATAGTATTATCAACAATAGCACTCACGCTCAACACACTGCCTCAGCTGCAGGTAGAAGACAAGGACGGTCAGATGGGTGACAACCCTAAACTAAATATGGTGGAAGCTGTCTGCATAACATGGTTTACCCTGGAATATCTTCTACGATTTATGTCAGCTCCTAATAAGTGGAAGTTTTTCAAAGGGGCCTTGAACATAATAGATTTGCTAGCTATTCTTCCTTATTTTATCTCTTTGTTTCTCATTGAATCCAATAAACACACTGATCAGTTCCAAGATGTCAGGCGGATTGTACAGATTTTTCGAATAATGAGGATTCTTCGGATCCTCAAGTTAGCTCGACATAGCACAGGTCTCCAGAGCTTGGGCTTCACGCTTAGGAACAGTTACAAGGAACTGGGTTTACTTATGCTCTTCTTAGCCATCGGCATCATGATGTTTTCTAGTTTGGCTTACTTCGCCGAGAAGGATGAACCAGGTACAAAGTACACTAGCATACCAGAGACCTTTTGGTGGGCCAGTATTACCATGACAACCGTTGGGTACGGAGATATCTACCCTACTACCCTCTTTGGAAAGATCATTGGCAGCGCATGCTGCATCTGCGGCGTGTTGGTCATCGCACTGCCCATTCCGATCATTGTGAACAACTTTGCTGAGTTTTACAAAAATCAAATGCGTCGAGAGAAGGCTCTGAAGAGAAGAGAAGCACTGGAAAAAGCGAAAAGAGAAGGTAGTATTGTCTCCTTCCATCACATCAACCTGAGAGATGCTTTTGCAAAGTCAATGGATCTAATTGATGTCCTAGTGGAGAGTGGGCACAATACTAGTCAGGTAAAAGATACTTAAATATATTTTATTTTTCTAGTTTGAAAGTTCCCTGATTCGAAGTAAACATTAGCAATAACCATGATGTTTGAAATCATATCGAGAGAAATATTTGTGACACAAAGTCAAAGGCTGCATCTCTTCCTGTCTTCCTTCACTTTTATCACACACAACGCCTTATTCAACAGCTTTTTAATACTACTGGGCCGAATTTTTATTCGGAGTACAGTAAAGCCTGTTGTAGTTTTATTAACTGACCGTTTAAAAAAAGACCTTAATTTTTTAATCTCATAAAAAAGCGAATTTATCGCGATACTATATAAAATGTAAAAAAAAAAGTTTGTTTGATTTAATTACATTCTGACAGCACTGAAAAAGTCAGCTTCTGTAGTTACTTCCGCAATTTAATTTAATATGATTCAATACTCATTAATCGTGCGCTTGGTTACACCCAGTTTAACCGCAAAATGTGTTTAAAATGAAAAACATACTGATCAATCAAAATATCGACTGCACAGATTGGGTAAACATTCCAACAACGTTATCTTTAAAAAAAATCAGCAACAGAAGAGATAAACCAGTTTCCACACAAACCTATTTTTGAGTATAAATATTATAAAACTGTCGACCTGTGAACAACAGTCAATAGAAACATTTTTACTATTTCTCATTTTTCTATAGTTTTCTACTTCTTGATGACTTTGGTTTGTTTCTGTGAATGAATTTTCACATTAACAAAACACTCCTATTGATGTTTTTCCTACGGAAGTATAGAAAGATCTTTGTCAAACATACGCAATTACATGTACGTTGAAATATTTATAAAATTTTTAGTAACATTGCCCACCTTTGTAAAATACATGTAATACAGATAAATATGTATATAATTGAAAACAAAAACGTAAATTGTGATCACATTCAAGTAACGGATGACAGTAGATTCGTTAAAATTCAACTGACAGAAGATTGTCGTTAAAATAATGGTTTTAACATTATTAAATCTAGACATTGATGACATAATCATATTTGGAAGTAGAGTGTCCACCCTTGTAAACCTTGTGTAAGATAAAACTTTAAAGTATCGTGTGTAAAATGAAATATTTTGTCATGTTATATGGATAGCATAAAGTCAAACTAGTGAAAGAGTAAATTCTTAATTATTGCATAATATTTAAATGAACGTCTTTTTTCTGGACTATTATTTACATATACATGGTTAGGAAATATAATCAAATATAGAAGTAATGAATTAGTGTTAAGCGTCCTTTTGTTTGATGGTAAACACACTACGGGTATCGAAACCTGTTGAAAGTTCGCAGACATACCAATGTGCTACTGGGGGGGGGGGGTTTAGACATAAATTTTTTGTTTACTTTTTGACATTGTTAATGGCATTAAATATAAACTTCTTTAATATTTAATGAAATTTCATGCCTAGTTCTTACACATGTAAAGATACCAAATGCCTAGTTACCCTTTTGCAATCTGTTTTGTGTAGAATTAACATTATTACCAGTTTTGATTTGCTATTTAAATAAGATCATACTTAAGCTATTTGCATCTCGTCTCTTTAAATTAATTTGAATATTCTATTGGTTTATTTCTTTGGAGTTCATATTAATCAATTAAATGATTTAATTATATTAATTGACTCTGCTTATGCGCATAATTCCACCCCCTCTATTTTTTACGATCCTAATTTCTATATATAGTTTTCTTTTCATAAATGTATTCCAACAAACCTTTATCAGTTGACTATGATTAGTCATACCTTGTATGTATATTGTGAATACGACCAACTTACTGTTGTGTACATGTTATTTAGTTCTGTTAGACACAGTGATTATTGTGACCACATCAGTTAATTTGAAGTTACTAATCGTTAGCTCAGAACTGTAATTTCAAGGATTTTAAAATTTAATTTTAATAACACTTGACTTGTTTATAGAATCCTTCTTTTTCAGCAATTAGATGCCACAAGTCTAGGTGGGGAGTCTGCCAGAATTAACACTGGTGCAGGCTGTTACAAAAACTTCGACCATAATATGGATCTCAGGAAAGATTCACAGATAGTTTCATTACCACCAGATACTGTTCCGCTGTGCACTAACGCATTGCTTGACTTCGCCGCCACAAGAGGGACAGATAGTCAACTTGTTTTGAATCCATTGAGTACAGGAGCGAATTACGCGGAATATACTTCTCCAGTAGGTGAATCATTTTTCTGTATAAAATATGGTTTGTTTAGAATTTTCGAGAAAAGCTATACAAGGGCTATCTGCGTATAGCTGTTCTTAATTTTAAATTGAAAGATAAGAGGAAAAGCAACCAGTCAACAGCGCCTACAGCTAATTTTTGAGCTACTCTTGTCTTACCTAATAATGGAATTTGACCCTCACTATCATAGTGCATCCACGGCCCCAAAGCGCAGAGCGCATTCTTGCGGCAACAAAATAGGAACACTGATCTCTTAGAATCACAATCAGGGCGAATTAATACTAGGCCACGTCCAGTCCACTACACAGATAAAATTAATGTTAGTATAGACACAATCCCGCTTCTTATTATTCTTCTGTTTAAATATTTCAAATGATTTTGTTTATTAATTCGAAGTAACCTAAATGTTTCCGCAGATTTCAATTGACGTTATCATATTTTACTTATTCTCTGGCCATATTTTTGTTCACAAGAGATTTAAAATAATAGTGAAACTATGTCGTAGAACTTCATACTAGACGCAATTTTTTATTATTATATGACTTCTTTAATTCCCCTAAATTTCATTGCATGTTCTCAAATTGTGAGTTGTTAATTTATAATTCCGTTTTCGGGTTACCACCACCAATTCTGCTTTTCAGCGGAAGTACTTACTGATTGGCCAGTGACCTTAATTTTTCAACCATTGACAACTGAATATTCGTTCAAGGAGGTTAACAACTATTGAGTAGCTTCGTGTAAATAAACGAATGCACCCCATGAGTGGTTATTTGCCTGTTCTGAACTGAACATTGGTATACCTACCAGTCTTTAACGGCCAGTGAAACAAATCTTTACGTACCACATATTTATCTTTTTTACCACTTTTTGTCTACTCAGATATCTTTCTACCGATTCTTTATCCATACAGAATCTTTCTAGCACTCTTTTTTATTGTCTCTACTTGTTTATTTTTACATTTACTAGAGGTACTTTTACTGGTACATTCTGTATTATTGATCAAATGTAATTCATTAATTCCCCGAAAGGGAGTCAAAGATCATCTGTAAGGATCACCTGTTTTAATCATCACCAGTATACAGCAGTGTTTGTCTGTCATTCAGTCAGTAGACACTAAAATGACGTCACATACGGGACGCTTGACGTAGCAATTTGTACTGTCCGAACGTCAATAAAACATGCGCATACCATGAATCACGAGAAGAATTATGCACTCTGTAGGCTACAACACAGTATGACATATGAACTTTAAAAGCAAGAAATAAAAATATTTGTTATTCTTAATTTTGGGCATGGCAAAACAAACTTAATTTTGGTTTTATTTACTCTGAAAACAAAACACTTTGGGGTACCCTGTGGATCTAGTATTATGCCACTCTCTACTAAACACAAGCTTTTTCTAACTATTGAGTTAGTTCTTTTTTTGTCTACTTTTCAACCAGGAGATCAAGGACTTTATTGATCATGATGTTCCTCTCCCTGGAGACCTTCAGTCCAACATCGAAATGAAACCTATCAGTAAGTGGGATGTAGGGAGCATTGAAAGCTCCGATACCTATGCAAGCTGCAATACACATCCGTTTTCCTCCCAAGGCGATCTGACAGCTGAGGACATCAGGTCAGGACGAAGTAACTTGTATATTAATCCTCTGGAGGAGCACAAACCAGCAGCTGGCAGCTCTTCCTGCAACAGTGCTACAAATGAGGAAACGGAAGGGAAAGTACTAACTGGAGAAATTCCTGAAGGACATGCCAAAATCACGGCCATATCGTCTTCTCCAGCTCGGAAACCTAGATTTCTAGAAGCTATCAAACCACGCACACGTTTTGATGACACAGATCCATCACAACGCTACCTAGTGCCAACCACAGAAACTATAACTATGCCTACAAGCAAGCCGAAATTGGGAATGAAAGGACCCTTTACAGGAGGCAGTAAGTACCAACCTCAACTTTATACATAACAAATATTTAAAATTTATATCTTCTAGGCTCGAAATTCCATCAAAAAATATTTTCCCCTTTAATAATTATTTTAAAGTTCCTTTCCTCTTCTTGGCTTATGATTATAAATTTTTCATCTCTAACGTATAATTTCTTCACTACATAACTATTTAATACTCATCTAATACTCTAAGCATTTTGTACTTTTACATATATGTGTCCGTCAAATGATATCTACTGGATTGTAACCAAGCATTTTCTGTTACAGGTTTATCACAGTATTTCTCTATGAATCCTGTCGCTTTTGTTTTATGGTCTCAGGTAGTTTAAAGAATTCTTATCGTACAATACTTATTTCATTGATTCTCAAATGTTCCACTGTTCTTTCATGGTCCATTTTTCTCCAGAATTCTGAATTACTCTACGTTTGTATTACCCATCAGATTCCCTTATTGATCCTACTCTTTTGTATTTCCTTTGCCTATTTTACTTTACTGGTTTTAGCTAGTGTCAAAAATTCCTATCATATTCATCCCATTTCATTCCCCCCAGTATCTCTGAGGGTTTATAACGCTAAAAATCGGATTTTGATATCTGCGGTTGGCACAACACAGGTGGTCCATTGTTTAGCCCTTTGCAACAACAAACAAACAAATCCTATATCCTAGATTCTCAAAGGTTGTATTTTTCTTGGATGATCCATTTTTCTCGAGAATTTTGAGTTACTATTCTTTGTTTCTATAACCTAGCAAATTCTCTTATAGAGTTTCGTTCTTTTTCTTCAGTAAATCGTTTTTAAAACTTGTTGTTAGGTTTCTCTACTAAATAAAAAAATCTGAATACACGCACGTATGTGTGTTTGTATGTGTTTATGCATAAATATCTGTAAATGAAAAGACTTTTCATTTTTGTACGTTCTAAACTTATCACTAACAGTTTGTTACTTTTAAGAACACTGCATGAAATATTTAAAAGCAAAACCATTGTTATAAACTAATATTCATCACCTCTCCCTCAGTTCATTGTAATGAAAAGTACACAACTATTGATTAAATCGGATATTATGAAATGCAAGTGATTGATATACTATATAAATATAGTTGTCTCACATAATATTGTCTCACCTGTCTCTTCCAAGCACATCACAGAATTTGAAGTTCTACACGTTATTCAGGAACTATTGTTAGATCTCAAAAGAGACATTTGAACGTTAAGAATCAGTGAACAAATAGAAGCCGGCCGATGACAGCAGGCTGTTACAAATTGGCTAAAAGTTTCTTAAAGTGTCATATATAAAGTGTCGGTAGTCATATCATAAGCAGAACATCATCGTATCTTGGCCCTGGCTCGCCACAATCGTGGAACAATATTTTCTTTTACAGATGATTCATGTTTCTAGCCATAAATTCAATTGGAGGGGAATCAGCTTCAACCCCATTTTTGTAGAGTAATGTGATGTACATGGTGGCAATGAAAGTACCGTACGAACAGTTTGTTTGTTTTTGAATTTCGCGCTAGCCGTCCCTAATTTAGGGTCCCTGTATATTAGAGGGAAGGCAGCTAGTCA